TCCTTCGAACCTTTGAGTTTACCCAAAGGTATTTAAATCTTACCTTCTCACTGAGCCGGTAAACTTCACAGCAGAAAACGACAAAAATCAACACACATATTAGGGCAATTGAAATTATCAAAACAAATTAAATCTCAAAGTTTATGTTCGAACAACAGTAAATCTTACCTTTTGAGCGACCCGGTAGATTTTGCAACACAAAATAGGCAGGAAATGAACAAGAACAAACACTGTACAGATTAGGGAACAAGAACATACAAGTGAATCTGCAACAATTTATGTGAGAGAGTGAAGAATATGAAAATGCGATTTCTAGAATTTCTTTCTTTGACTCGAAGACGGATACAAATGAATGGAAGATAGAATACAAACAGTGGTAGGTCATGGGGGTCGATGGGGCAGTGGAGGCTTGGGGGCAACGTCCCTGTTGGGGATCGACTTGTCCGATCAGGTCGCAGGGGTCGAGGGGCAGTGCCCCTCGTGGGGGTTCGGGGTCAACGCTCTCGAAAGAAAATCTGATTTGTAAATGGTTTTATAATTTTTATTAATATTTTTGAATTAAATCATTAATAAACGAAATTGTATTTAGTTTGTGTAAAATGTAAGCAAATAGTATCACCTAAATTTAAAAATAAGTGTTTGTAAATTTGGTTAATATTATTTATAGAAATTATTATTGTTTGCACAGTAAAAAAAAAGGCCTGATGCTCCGCACGGAGCATGCTCTGCACAGTGTGGAGCAATCTCGGTACTGTGCGACGTTTTTTTTTTTTCTTTCTTCTTCTACCAAAAGTGAATCCGAACATGAAGAAAATGTCACTAATTGACAATTTTCCTAACGAGATTAATTTGATGATCTTTTTTTAAATAAAATCAGATGCCATTAAAAATCAAAACAAATAAAAATGACATCGAAAACCAAATTAAACATATGAAAACTAGGAGAACAAAAATTATCAACCTTCTTTTCATCATTTCTTGGAATTCCCATAAAAGGATTGTGTCAAAAAACTTGTAACTGGCTCGTCCTTGTTCTCATCGTAATTGCTCGGTTCTTTCAATTTATTTAGCCCCAAATCCTCAATTCATACCTCCAAGAACAGCTTACGACACTTACAAAAGCAGCTTACGAGAACTTGTCTATGGGGATAAAACCATAAAGGAGAGAGCTCAATTGCTACCTTTTCTCCAAATATGGATTAGAAGGAAAAAAGATATTTTACAAATGAAAGATATTAAGGATAGGAATTGGAAGAAAAAAGATATTTTACAAATGAAAGAAATTAAGAAGGGAGATAAAGTCGGTTATACTGTAGAAAATTCGATTACAATGTGAAAACTCATGTGACAAAAATGAACAGTAATTTCCCTCTTTTAAGAGAAGGAGGGATTCTAATAACATTAGCATTATATTTTCCTTACATGA